ATGACTCAAAGTGAGAAACCACTGAAAAAGACTCTAGATAAGGACTTACAAAATTTGGATCTTAACCTAACAAAATTATTTAAATCTAGGTCTAGGATGAGATTATTTTCCAAATACAAACCGGGGTGAAATTCAACATTTAATTAAAACATGGGTACAAAATTATTTATTTATTTATTTATTTCAATTGCTTTTTAAACTGTCTCATTAGAAGTCATATAATTAAATTTTATATTTCGTGAGGAAGAATATTCATCAGGATTGAAATTAATTAATAAATAAAATTATCTGCATAGTTTATAAAAGCATGCTTGTTGATTTTACTTAAAAGGGTCTTGATCATATTCTTATTTTCCCATTGATCCCCTATATTTTTGTAAGGTGTGATTAGAAGAATTGATTGTACAAATAAAAAAAAAAATAACTTTTAAATATTATAAAGTAAATAGAATTTAATAATGAGCAAATAATATCACTTTTATGTAGTATGACTAGTAGGCAACTTGTGCGATGCACAAGATAATAACAATAAATCATATTATTTAAAGCAATGATGGAATATCGATTAAGATAAAAAAAAAATAGTTTTAAATACTAACATTAACTTTTATCCTTTATTTCATTTTAAATACATAATAATGTACATTACAAATATTTTAAATTTTCATTCTAATCTGATAAATCATATGATTTTTTAACGTATGTTGATTTATCATTATAATTTATAACAATATATATTATAAATATTTTTCTAATCTAACAATTGTTTTGTGACCCTGCATTCAAACTCGTGCAATAATTTCGACTTTTAACATGAAAATTTGACGTATGCTATTTAATTAGTCATCAACATGATGACGTGGACCGCAGAAAGGTCAAAAGCCGATTGTTTTGCAATTGACAGTCAAATGAATCGTATATATTGCTTCCTTTTCTTTGAATGCTTCTGAATTTAAATGGTGAATAAGGATACTTATAACTTAATTATATATTTTAATAAAAACTATATTTGCTATTTTTTCTTTAAATAAACATAACATCACTAGAGATAAAATAGTTTTTTTGTACCAATATTATAGTTTATTTAAATTAATAATATCATTTTTCATCTTGTTATAGGTACATAAATTATAAATTAATGCGTAAAAAAATTTCTGTAAAATTATTTCAAAAAAGCAAGAGAAAAGGGAAGCGAAAAAAAAAAAAAAATAATTTGTTAGGGCACTCGTTTAAGTCAACGCTGGATAACATTTCAACTGACTCGTTTCGGATTATGTCGTTGACCCGATCGAGTCTTAAAACGATGTGGGAGTGTATAAAATGCATATGTTTATTAGGTTAAAAAAAGCCAAATTAAGAAACTGCAAATTCCTAAAAAATGGATTATGGTAGCAGCCACATTATGTCCCGAATTACTACTATTTTTGTCATTTTTCTAGCTTTAATCTCTTTTATCGGTAATGTGCGATCAACGTATTCTAATAACACCTTACAAAAATATCGGCTCGAAAATGATCAGTCGAAAATGGCGAAGAATATCGAGGCCCTTTTGAATAAAATCAACAAGCCTGCTGTAAAAACTATTCAGGTAAATTTCTTATTAGTGATGAATATTCTTCTACTGTCTATATGTTATAAATTTTACCTCACCATCTTTATTCATTTTTGGCTACAGAGTCCTGATGGCGATATCATCGACTGTGTACCATTCCATTTACAGCCAGCTTTCGATCATCCTTTGTTAAAAGGACAGAAAACAATCACGGTGAATATTTGATCAGTAGAGTTTTTTGTTCGTTGCTATTCTGTTACTATATTTCAGATAGAATAGTTTAATAACACTTGTATCTACGTACATTGTTTCGCTTAATACAGAAACTACCCAAAGCACGATCAAGCAACAACACTTTTGTCGAAAATTTCCAAGTTTGGACAATGTCAGGCGAACGTTGCCCGGACAACACAGTTCCAATCAGAAGAACAACCGCACAAGATATTCTAAAAGCAAAATCTGTAGAAGCATTTGGACGCAAAACAGTTAGAAAAGACGCAGATGACGGCGCTGTCCATGAGGTACGCATTAAATGTTTAAGAAAATTTTATAAGTACAAATAAAGTTTTCTCACGAAGATGAGACATCCATAGATATATTCCATTTTGTATGGTTTTCAATGTCTACTAAATATCAATGCATTCGAGCAATGTTTGCAGCGTCGAACACTAGATGAAACATCATTTTAGAAGTTATATTTTTTTTTCGATAAACCTCCACTATCTAGTACGTAATAGCAACTAGTATGAGTCGATCTCACGAAAAGTGTAAATCAGATTGTGAAATTTTCGTACTAATTAAAAGAGGTGGGATTGAATTATAAAATTTTATCTAACTAATAATGAGATTACAATAAAGATAAAAGAAAATAAAGTCTGAAACAAATGTACAGAGAAAATTATAGTACTATGGTATTTTGGTATTACTAAATTCTCAAACCAATACTGCAACGAAATGGTCGGTAACCAAAAATCGATTTGGTATCGGTAAATTTTGGTAATACCTAAAATTCAAAACTTCGAAAAAAAAAGTTCAGTTGCAAAATTATGAAAGAAATAGTTGAAGAAAAAAATAGCAAAAGAAGGGAGAAATAGCATTATTAGAATATTCACTTGTGAGTTCTTCATAAGAAGTCCAAGCTCATATACGGATGTGAAACAATCAAATTTCGAACCCTAGAATTCAACCAAATCAAAATATGCAAATACATAGATCAATAAATTAAAATATGCAAATACATAGATCAATAAATTAAAATATGCAAATACATAGATCAATAAATTACTTGAAGGAGCATGCATATATCCGTGTAGAAAAACCGGAAGAGGAGATGCTTTGTGTGGAAAAAAAATGGAGAAAACATATTTATTGAGGACAAAAAATCTTGATTCTTAACTCAAAAAAAAAATAAAAATAAATAAATAAATAAATAAATAAAAATAAAAATCTGTTCGGTTCAATTAATATAGAACCATGAACTGGCATTAACCAATACCGAACCGAGTATGGATTAGTTACTGTAATTAAATTTGCGGTTCGGTTTTGATATTTAGGTTTGAATAAAGTTAAACAAAAGTGTATTTTTAGTCTTGTTAGTTTAACTTTCTAGCAATTTTAGTCTCAACATTCCAACTTTTCGCCTTCGGTCATGTGATTTAATGTTTTTCTGCAAATTTATTTCTTTGATGACTGAATTGCAACAAATTTTATATTACAAGACTTAAATTGATAATAAAAAATCTGTGAATTTGGGAATTTTATATTACAATCTGAAATTACAATAAAATATCAAATCACAAGACCAAAAGCGAAATGTTGGGACATTGGGACTAAAATTGGTATATATGACGTTAAACCAGTATAACTAAAAATGCAACTTATGCCATGAAGTTACTTTAACATAATGATTGATGTAAGTGTAAGTGTAGAAATTGTCGATTTTAAAGTTGGTGTTTCGTCAAGTACGCATAACGTCAATCATTAAATGTACGCTAATCTTCTCAGCATGCAGTCTTCTCCGCAAGCGGGATATTTCTTGGAGCAAAAGCTACCATAAATGTGTGGTATCCAGACGTTGCAGAGTCCGGTGAATTCAGCTTAGCACAAATATGGGTTTTGTCAGGAAGTTTGGACAGTGATCTAAACTCCATGGAAGCTGGTTGACAGGTCAGAAAAAATTTTTTGATAGTAAGAGTAATTGTGTTATTTAAATGACAAAATGACTATTATTTCATACTTCCACAAAAAGCAACCATTTTTTTATCTTTGTAAAAGGTACATGGTCTTAGTGGATTTTTTTTTTTTTTTTAAAAAAAAAAGTCAGTATATATATAATTTTTTATTAAATTTGTATAGAAATGTAAAAAATATTGACAATATGTTAATAATGAAAACTTATTTCTATACTTTTCTAATTTAAAGTAGTAATATTATTTATTTAATAGAAAATGTACGAGCAATTATTATATTTTAAATTTCTAAATAAGTTTTCGAGAATATTTATAATGATTTACTCTTTCGTCTCTTAATTGTAAATTGATTTTGTGATTTATAAAACCGCGTATTTAGCTGGATTGTTAAGTTTTTGAATGTTGATTTTTAACTTTTTTTTTTTGTGTTATCACATATTTTTAACTTTATTTATTTTTTTATTAAAAAAATATTAATTTGATCATAAGCTCTTATCAACAAAAACTTTATGCAATGTGCTGCAAAATTTCAATTTAAATCAATTTTTCAACAAAAGAAACTTATTTTTTCGTAAATTACAGATGTTAAAACAAATTAATGAAATCTCATTTACATTTATATATAAATTTAGAAGTTTTGGGGTGATACAAATTTAATGTTTATTAAAATCTTGATGGTACACATATATATCGATACATATGTATTTAACCAAATAAATTTTTACATGAAATAAGCATTTCGACTTAAGTCACAAGCTCGTTATTTAACATTAAACTCCCCCTCCCTGATTAAAATTCCTAAATCCGTCATTGCATGGTCTGATATTACCACAAAATTAATCTTCAAACAAAAGAAAATGGTTTCAAGTTTGCACTATCTAACTCATCTACATAATTTTCAACAGGTTCGTTATGGTGACGAGTATCCTAAATTCTTCATCTATTGGACTGTAAGTATAAATATTTCCTTTTTTTTTTTTTTTAATTGCACTTATTCATTCAATTAATTATATGTATTTTTTTGTAGGCTGATGCTTATCAGGGAACAGGTTGTTATAATTTGGAGTGCTCAGGCTTTGTTCAAACCAGCCAAAACATCGTACCTGGAGCTGCAATTCGGCAATATTCAACTTATAATGGCCCACAATATAACATTACTTTATCTGTTGAAAAGGTAAATATATAAATACTCTAAATCTATATTAGTTATTCATCATATTTTAAAGTAGAAAAAAAGGATCTATATAAAATTACAACAATGTAAATATATAATTTAACATACTATAAATGATTCAAGAAATTTATTGACAAACAATATATAATTTAAATATAGACCCTTTTTATATAGTTACAAGAGTAACACTTATGCAATTTTTTTCTAGGGAAAACTACATTTTTAGTCTTGTTGGTTTAACGTCATAGCAATTTTAGTCCTAAGATTGTGATTTTTTACGTTCTGGTCATGTGATTTAATATTTTACTGCAATTTCAGTCATTTGATAACTGAAATTGCAACAAAATTTTAAAAATATGACTGAAATTGCGATGAAATTTTAAATTACATAGCTTAAATAGCTAATAGAAAATCCACCCCAAAGATATAAATTAGGAATTCGTTGCAATTGCAGATCATATAGAACCTTTTTATATATATAGTTACAAAAATAACGCTTATGCAATTTCTTTCTAGCCAAAAATACATTTTTAATTCTGTTGGTTTAACGCTAGAACAATTTTAATCTCAAGATTTTAACTTTTGGCCCATTGTGTCTTGTGATTTTATATTTACTGTCCTCAATGACTTAAAATTTGCGACAAAATTTCAAGTTCCATGACTGAAATACCAATAAAATTTTAAATTACATAACTTAAATTGTTAATAAAAAATCCACCCAAGTGAATTTGTTGTTACTTCAGTTCTCAAATGACTGAAATTGCAGCAAAATATTAAATTACAGGACCAAAAGGCAGAATTTTAGAATCTTCATTAGGACTAAAATTGATATGGTGTTAAACTAGCAGGACTAAAAATACAATTTCGCCTTTTTATATCATTATTATTAGTATTGTTATTATTTTTTCAATTTATTTTCAGAGTCCTAAAGATGGGCATTGGTGGCTAAAATATAACGAGGATGAAGTTGGTTATTGGCCAAAAGAAATATTTACAAATGAACTCAAAGATCATGCAAAGGACGTGGAATTTGGGGGTGAAATTGTAGATAGCAGAAGTTCGAGGGCCCATACAACAACACAAATGGGGAGTGGCCATTTTCCAGACGAAGGCTATGGGAAAGCAGCTTATATACGAAACATAGAAGTGCTTGATGAAAATTACGAAATAGCCCCCGCAACAGAACTCGAATATGTCCCTCCTGAGAAACCGAATTGTTATTGGGCAGGAAGTGGGTCCCCCAGTGAAACTTGGGGTAATTACATGTTTTTCGGAGGGCCTGGTAGAAATGACAATTGTCCTTGAAGAGAAATAACATATATTATGGGGGTTCTTTTTATATATTTGGTCACTACTTGCATGAAGCTCTTATTAATAATCAGTATTGATTTATTTTGGTTCATCTATAGCATTCAACTTTAGAGAAGAATTTTGTGGTGTTGGGCCACTTTACTTCCCAAAATAATTAAATAAAATATACGAGCCCAATACTAAAATTAATGGAAACAAGGGCTAGGGCCCAAATGGGAGAAAACAAGAAAAGGCTCATTTACAAATATTCTCTATGATTTGAAAAAAATTGCACAGATACAACTCATTAGTTTTATTAGCATTATCACCAACTCTATACAAAATAAATATAAATATAACTAATATCAATTATATATATATATATATATATATATGTGTTTCTTAATGTACGTGATTGAATGCCCTCTCTTCCATCTTTATCATGTGTGGTACCCGTGCGATACACAGGCTAATTTGATTAAAGTAAGCATTTATATTTTGATGATTGAAAGAACGTAAAAACTATGTATTGAAATAAAACAAAATGTAACTTATATATTATTAAACAGAAAACAACGTACCTTTGTGTAAACCGTATTCTAAATAGGCTCAAATGAATCAATTAAATTATTTAGCAGGATATATATGATATGATTTATAATGCTTTCATTTTACTTGTTTATGGTTCAATCTTTATCTATGTACGTGATTTTTCCTAGATAAGCTAATTCAAAACGCTCCAATTACAAGCATTTTCATTTTTAGCGAATAGGAAAAAAAAAAAAACTGTTTTCGAACGCCAATTACCAAACAACTTTTTTAGTTAGCTAGAAAAAAAGTAATAAAGACTAATGGACAAAAAAGCTACAATGGTGCAAAAATCCATTTACCAAACAAGCCTTATTACTTTATGAATTTATTCGCTGGTAGAAAGAAAACAATGGTCTCTGCAATCTAAATAAATATTACTTTAAAAATTAGCAATTATTCCCCTAAACTTTATATTCTAAATAAATATCCCAAATAAACACATGAACAATGTACCCATAATTCATCGAATCTAATTCCAGGATTAT